ACTGTCTTACTGTCCCTGCTTATCACCATATAGAGTGTAGCAATTGGCCAGTGGCTCCTCAAAGGTGTGGCCTGCAAGCTTTACATGGTCTTCTTGGCCCTCAGCTTCTTTACCAGCATCTGCCTCTTGGTCCTCATCTCTCTGGACCGTTGCATCTCTTTCCGCTACCCCGTCTGGTCCTGAAACCACTGCACTGTGCAGCAAGCTGGCTGGCTGGCTGGCTGCTGTCACTTGCTCTCCATACTTGATTTTCCAGACCACTGAAGAGCAGAAAGGATGTGTCTACTGCCGCTTCAATATTGACATAGAGAATAAGGGGAAGGAGAATCCAGCTCCCAGGATCGGAAGTGAGTGGTTTTGAAGAGAAAAATGACTGTGACCATCATTCACTTCCTGCTGGGTTTCTTGGTGCCCTTGGTGATCATCAGTACCTGTGCCCACCTCATCTGCACCAAGCTCCAGCAGGAGGGCTGGGTCCATGCCAGCCAGCCAAAGAAGCTGCTGTTGGTGTTGGTGAGCGCCTTTTTCATTTCCTGGTTCCTGTTTAACATGGAGCTCTTGGTCCAATTGTAGCAACCGCAAAACGAACCTGACCCTAAGATGCTGCTCATCCTCTGGGCCACCTTCTCCCTGGGCTGTTTCAACAACTGCCTCAGCCCTTTCCTCTTCATTGGCAGAGATGGCCAAGAAAAGTTTTTCCACTCTTTGCCTTTTGCCTTGGCCAGAGCATTTGGTGAGGAGGGGTTTTTCAGTCAGCCTGTCCCCAAGGTGAAGCCCCCAAGGTATGATGGAAACCTTCATGTACAAGCTGGAAATCCTCCTGCTTAGTTTGCAGCCCCTTCCCTAGGCTGACTTCCAAGACTCTGTCAAATCCTGCCTCTTTTTTCAGGAAGTCTTCCCGGCAATCTCTTATCTAAATCTTTTCATTATAAACGTCTAGCTTTCCCCCAGTATCCATCTTATCCTTCCTTTATAGTAAGACTCCTACTTGTTTTAAACTATTTACGTGGTTAGCCAAGGAAAAAAGACTACATTTCCCAGTGTCCCTTGCAACTAGATATGGCCATGTGACTACTTTCTGGCCAGTAGTATGTGAGTGAAAGTAATCAGTGTAATTTCCTTGAAGTGCCCTTAATGGAAGATGCCTGCTCTCCATTCCTTCATTTCCCCCTTTCCATTGTCTAGAATGCAGATGTATCAGTTAGCTTTGCAGTGTAACAAACGTCTCCAAACTTAGAGGCTTAAAATAATAACCTTTTATGATTTCTTTGGGTCATCAACTTGGGCTGGGCTCAGCTGAGCAGTTTTCTGTTTTGGCTGGGCTTCCTCAGGCATTTGTGGTCAGTTATGGGTCAGCTAAGTGACTCTGTTTCTGGGAGGGGTTGTTGACCTCAGCTAGGTTGTTGACCTCAGCTAACCTTCAGCTAGGATGATGGGATTGATCAAGCCATGTAGTTCTCATCGTCCTGCAGGCTGACTAGGGCTTTTTCACATGGTGGCTGGGGAGGGTTCCAAGAGCAACAGGGGAAGCATAAGACCTACACTTGACACTTTGCACAATGTGACTATTTTCAAGGGGTGGGGAAATAGATTCCACCTCTCAAAGGGAAAATCTGCAAAGTGACATTGCAAAGGAGCATAGATACAGGAAATTGTGCAGAACTGGGGCCATTTTTGCAACCTGCCACAGCATTTGTGGTGGTGAACTATGTGGAAAGTGACTGTGTCCCCATACTAGGACTGGAATACTTACATCCACGCTGTGAAGAGAGAGATTTCAATTTCTAGCTCATTGAAGCAACTGCTGTTTTTTTGTGTCTCTGTTATGGCAGCTGAATTAATACCTTAACTATTATGCTGCCAACCTCCGGAACTTGTGTGAGCAACCTAATAAATATCCTTATTGTTGAAGCCATTTGGAGTCAGGTTTTCTGTTACTTGAAACCAACAGCAGCCCTACTGATACATATAATAAATACTCCTTTCTGGGAACAGAAATCCTGGTGGTCCTTGGTCACAGAGGAACATTCCCTTGGTTCTGGGTAGAGGCAAACATTTGTTTCATCCTAACCAAAAGCTATCATCCAGCTTGTACATAATCAGAAGGCGGCGCTCTGGTCCTACTCTGATTAGCCCTGAGAACTTCCCACCTGGAGCCTCAGTTCTCTCGACTCTGTAAAATAAGACCAAATGCCTTCATCTTTCATGGATAAGGAGAGGACAAAATGATACAATGACTGAGTATCAGGAAGGATAGAAGCATCTTAAAAAATAGGAAATTAGTTTATCAAAAAATAAAACTTTAAGATAATGTGGGCACAGAGTAAAAAAGAAAATTATTCTCCCCTTCCTTCCAGCTCCTCCGTTCCAACTTCTTTTCACTAGAGACTGTTGTCAACTTCTTGTGTATCCTTCCAGATATCCTAGGTATGCACGCATAAGCATTTTCAAACAGAACATGTGTATACATTATCTAACATTGTGTGTGTGCATGTGTTTTATTAAAATTATGTCTTGGAGATGGTTGCATATAAATACATGAGGTATGACATTATTTTTCAGTGCTGGTGGTCAAGTATTTCCTGGTCTGGATGTACTGTGCCCAAAGTTATTTCATCAACCCTCTACTGATGAGCATTTAGATTTCTTTGAATATGCTTCAGTGCTATTTTTGAAACTTAAAGTTATCCCATATAACCCACATTTTGAACAATACAAAAACAGAAGTGGAGGAATTGATTTATCATGAAGCGAATATCCATGCAAGTTTGCAGGTCATGGAATAGAGCACTGTCAGCCACCCTAGCACTCCTCTCCCTCCCCCTCCCAATGACGCCTCCATCTCCTTCAGAGATAACCTCTATCCTAACTTTTCTTGTAAATCTTTCTCTCTTTTTTTTGCCTTGCCTTGTCTTTTTCCTCTAAAATTTTTCATTGGAAACATATCAAACCTACAGTTACCAGAATAATAAAATACACCTTTCAACTAAATTTATCAAATGTTAATATTTGCCCATTCCCATATATTTTCTCTCTCTCTCTCTCTCTCTCTCTCTCTCTCTCTCTCTTTTTCTCTACTTATCTGTGTATCTCTCTCTTTTTCTGTTTAAATATACACCTATCTATCTATCTATTCTCTCCATACACAAACATACATACCATGGTACATCCACCATGATGAACAGACCCATAGGGAGGAGATGTGAGTTCTGGGAGGCTGAAGGAAGGAGCCCTCGGCACAGTCGCTGTTCCTTGATGGACCCAGTGGTCAGAAGCACCTCAGAACCTTTTGAAAATAGGTGCAGACCTCATGCTACTTCATCTGTAAATTCTTTAATCTGTGTCTCCTGAGAACAAGGCCATTTCTGCACCACAACCATAATATCATTACCACCCTCAAGAACTTCAGCATTGATATTATCTAATAAACAATCCAAATTCAAAATTTCCTAGTTGTCCCAATAATGAACTTTATAGCATTAAAAAAAATCAGAGTCCTGCAATGATATTCTCCCCACTTTCCAAGAATAGACTATGGGTCAGAAACACAGTACAGGTTGATTGCCAAAAGCAGAAATAATACAGGCCACATTAAAATTAGAAATTAATAACAAAGAATAACCCCAGACACTCAGATTGCTTTGCACATTTCAAAACACTCTATAAGTAACTCTTGGGTTAAATGGAAGAATAAAACTGGAGTGCCATTCATTTAGAAATGAGCACACTACACAACAAAACTTGTGAGTTGGGGCCAAAGCTATACTGTGAGGAAGAGCTGTAGCTTCAGGTGCTAATTCGGAAAAATGCTCACATGAAAGGAGGTGAGCAAAACAATTCAAGAGGCTAGAAAAAGAACAATAAAGTAAGTGCACTAAAATTTGAAAGAAAGCATGGATAGATTTTTTTTTAAAGGAAAGTACTTTTACTTTTTAAAAATTTATTTATTTTTGGCTGCATTGGGTGTTCGTTGCTGCACATGGATTTTCTTTAGCTGCGGCGAGCGGGAGGTACTCTTTGCCTTGCAATGCACGGGCTTCTCATGCAATGGCTTCTCTTGTTGTGGAGCACAGGCTCTAGGCACGTGGGCTTCCATAGTTGTGGCATGCAGGCTCAGTAGTTGTGGCGCACAGGCTTAGTTACTCCACGGCATGTGGGATCTTCCCGGACCAGAGATCGAACCCCCATCCCCTGCATTGGCAGGCAGATTCTAAACCACTGCACCACCAGGGAAGTTCTCATGGACAGATTTTAATGAGGAAATTAACAAAAAAGAAAAAAGTGGATAGTATAAAGAAGCTGTTCTCTCTGTCTCTCCAACAATAGTAACCTTTTACATTTGTACCTGTGTACTTTGGTGAACTCTCCAAGAAGGCAGAATGGTATGACAGCTGCTGATAGCTAGGTGACACCTGTCAAGTTGCTTTCACTCTCTATGCCTCAGTTTCCACCTAAGTGAAATGAGATATAACAGCACCTCCCTCAAAGAGTCACTGGGATGATTACGTGTATTGATGTGGATAAAGCGTTTAGTTCGTACCTGGCACCTCGGAGGTGTGACGTATTTGCTATTATCAATCTTGTCATCTGTTAGAATAGATCTTTCCTCGGGGACTGGCAGGGTCAGAGGGCGTGTTAGATGTTGCTAGACTCCTCCACAGGGAGCTCCGAAAGGCGGTTTCCCAGAGCTTCGCCAACGCAACGCAACCGCGATGTCAGACTCTTTGATCTCCGCCTTCTCAGAGGTGAATAGTGGGATCCCGGTGAGGTTTTTAATTTGCATTGATTTTCTAATGAATTTGGTTAAGCAGTCTTTCAAGGAGACTCTGTGGTTTTCACAGCCGCTTCAGGATTCTCCTGGGGAGATCGTAGTCTTTGGGGAGAGCCTCGCATGGTTGGTGAGGTGGGTTTTGAGACCCAGAGAGACAGCAGCCTCTCCGCGTGGCCCAGCGCGGGAATCAACATTTCCTTGATCAGCCTCTGTGAAGGGGGTGGGGGGGGGAGGTGGACGATGCCCTAAACCTCGGATTCTTACTCTACCAACTAGGGACTGAAAATCCTTCTCTAATAAGACTTCTATGAGAACCTAAGAAGGCGATTCACCCCTTCATTCATCCCATAAGGACAGCTCACAAGTATTGATCGTGTCCTGGGCACCAGGTCCTGTCCAGAGCTTTATAAACGTGTGAACTCCACATCTCGACCCTATGAGGGCGGTAGTACGATTATGCCCACTGATGAGGAAACTTGAAGCTCAGAGAGGTAAAGTCACTTACCAAAGGTCACACAGCGAGTGAGTGGTAGTCAAGACTTGAGCGGTCTGACTGCACTAATCCATCCAATTACGTTTATTGAGTGCCTGTCCGGTGAAGGGCGTGGTTTAGTCACTAAAGATAAAAGGTGAAGGAGACAAAGACCCCCACCTTGGAGGCAGAGATATTCCTTGGGCGGGGCCGACATTCGAGAGGACGGGGCCAACATTACGGGGGGAGGGGCTGACGTTCTCTAGCCTTCAGGGTCCACAGCCTCCACCTCTACGTCGTACTCTGTCCCTATATAGTACTGACCGAGCATATAGTAGGGATTCAAGCGTTCCTGACAAGAACACAGCCTCTGCCCTCACGCAGCTCACAGCCTAGGAAAGACAGTCCTGAACGGTAGGACCCTACAGAAAGGTATTTACCTCCCAGGCAGGAGGGAGGCAATTACGCGCTCTTAATCACTACCTCTGTTTGTCTCAGCAAGGAGAGAGGAAAGGCGGCGCCCCGAACCTGGCCTGGTTTGAGATGCTCCCAGCCGCGGGAGACAGACAGACTGTCATCAAATGTCGGAAAATAGCTGTCATGAGACGCCTCACCCCCTGACACCTGAAACCCTCCCCCTGCGACTGCAAAGTCATAGGTTCTACTCCTGTTGACTGAGCACCCGCATGCTTTCAAATTCTCACGCAGCCTTACTGGGGTAGAGACTTACTTACCCGGAGTCCCAGCCGGGGTCAAGATGTCAGGATCCGGATTCAAACTCAGCACCTTGGATGTCACGGTGAGCTGTGCTTGGATCTCCCGGTCCCCATCCTTGTTTGTGTGGAATAAAATGAAGGGAAGGCAACGTGACAGCCTTACACCATTGTCTGTGTCATTGTTTCTGGGTCCTCCATGCCTGGGACATGGACTGTAATAAATGATGTGCTGCTCTACACCCCTCAGACTCACGCTGACCAAGACCTGGGTTTCTAGCGTGTTAAATGATTCACTCGAAAGTGGGGACCCCCCACCACGTGCCTCCCCTGTGGTGGGTGATGCTGGGGACCCCGGAGGAGTAAGACCAGAACCCTGATCTCAAAGACGCTGCAGACTGGTGGCAGAGACGGACACAGACAGTGAGAACCAAGGTGGTGATGGCTGTGACAGAGCAGGTACCAGGTGTGTGGCACCTAGAGCTTTAGGGTGAAGCCGTGGGAGGTGAAATAGGGGGCTCTGATGGGTGACAGTGGAACGCCAGGCTGAGGGGCTGGGTCTTTGTCCGGGGGCACTGGGGAGCCATGGGAGGTGTGTGAGCAGGGGAGGGATAGGGTTAACCCTGGGTGTAGAAAGAATCCTCTGGGGCCCCCGTGGGGGTGGACAGAGACCAGAAGAAGGCTGGGAGGGGGAAGGGGTCCAGGGAAAGAGGAGGAGGCCTGAGTAGGGACAAGGCGGTGGGTATGGAGAAGAGAGAGTGGGACAGACAGGGCTGGAGGGAGTGAAAGGAGGCAGAGGCTGGTAGTGGGCTCTAATGTGGGATCTCCTGCTACTCGTTCCGCCTCCCAGTCGTGGGTACTTTGAAGCCCACAGGAGCCACAAGATAAAGCTTGGCAGAGCAGAGCACTCGCATCCCCTCTTTCCCCACAGTCAGCCCCATCCCTCCCACCACAGCCTGACCCCTCCCTCCATGCCTCTCCTTTGGCCATTCTGGGTCCAGATGCTCCTCTCTCTGAGGCCTGTCCCCAACTTCCTACAGCCTCTTACTGAGAGGGCAAACTCAGCAATTGGGTGCCTGGCCCTCAGAGAGCCTCCAAATGGCTGGTCTATAAAATGGGTGTATTATTTTCCTATGGTTGGTGTAACAAATTCCCACAAACTTAGTGGCTTCAAACAACACACATCTATCTCATGATTCTGGAGGTCAGAGGTCCTAGACGGGTGTCACTAGGCTCTAGAGGAGAATCCTTTTCCTTTCCTTTCCCAGCTCCTAGAGGCTGTCCCCGCTTCACTGCTCATGGCTTTTGCCTCCATCTTCAAATCCCAAAGGTAGCATCTTCATTTATATATTTATTATTATGTTCTGGCCATGCCACGTGGCTTGTGGGATCTTAATTCCCTGACCAGAGATTGAACCCGGGCCATGGCAGTGAAAGCAAGGAGTCCTAACCACTGGACTGCCAGGGAATTGCCCTGCAGGTAGCATCTTCAAATCTCTTTCTGCCTCACTTTTCCACATATCAGGATCCCTATATTGTGACTATATTGGGCCCACCTGGAAAATCCAGGCTCCTCTCCCTATTTTAGAGTCATCTGACTAGAAGCCTTAACTCCATCTGAGACCTTCATTCCCCTTTGCCATGTAAGGTAACATACCCACGGGTTCCGGAATGAGGACGTGGACATCTTTGGGGCCATTCATCTGCCTACTACAGTGAGCATGGTGTTCCCTACTCACATTTATTCAACAATATTTATTGAGCACCTACTATGTGCCAGGCACTGTTTTAGGATGAAAATCCCTACTCTTATGGAATTCCTTTGTTACAGCATTGGGGTGGGGTGCGGGGAGGGGTGCAGACAGACAATTAAACAATTACAATTTTAAAAATCAATGCATGATCATCAGTGCTATGGAGAGGAAAGCAGGAGGATTAAGGGGAGAGGGAGTGTTGAGGGGTTTAGACACTTGAAAGAGGCAACCGTTAGCAGAGACCTGAGTGATGTGAGGAAGAGGTGTGGGGAAGGGCGCTCCAGGCAGGGGGCACAGTGGGTGCAAAGGCCTAGAGGTGGGAGGAATGGGGGGTGGGGAGGGTGATGGGGAGCCCTTGGGAGGATCCAACATGGCAGTCTGTGATGTGCTCATTATTCACTACCCAATTTGTCCATAGACCCTTGTTCTCCGGCTGAGAAAACCGGAGCTCAGAGATGAGGGATCTGGTCATACGAGGAGGTGGGTTGTCTTTGGACTCCTGGTATAGTGCTCACTCAGTCTGCTCTAGGTCCTGAAGCTCCAGCCATGTCTTTTCTGGAGGACCACCCTGAGGTTTTGCATGTCTTCCTCATCATTGGGTTTTAGCCTCTTCTTCCTCCTGATCTGTCACCAGACCATGAGCTGTGCATGCAAATACGTCCTGAGGTCTCATGTGACCTGGTCCTGAGCTGGGAGATGTTGGCGACACAGATATGAATCAGCCCTCCAGGGGCTCCCAGCCTGGTATAGGAGATAACTAGGGCACAGACAGTTCCAGTCTGGAGGGGATCCGAGGGAGGAAGAGGGACTGTAGAAGGACTAGGCCTGGAAAAGTCAGGGAGGGCTTCCTGGAGGAGGGGGCATTTGCATTGGGAATTAATGTATGAGTAAAGTTTGCCAGGTAAAGATGGGAATACATTCATTCATTTTACAAACATGTCCTGAGGCACTGTGTGGGTTGGTTGTTCAAGGATGATTCATGCATTTATTCATTCAATACGTCTTTGTTGGGACTTCCTTGGCAGTCCAGTGGTTAAGATTTCACCTTCCAATGCAGGGGGTGCAGGTTCAATCACTGGTCGGGGAGCTAAGATCCCACATGCCTCAGGGCCAAAAAACCAAAATATAAAGCAGAAGCAATATTGTAACAAATTCAATAAAAATGGTCCACATCAAAAAAAAATTTTTGTTTAGGCAAAATAATACAATGGTTAAGACTTCAGATTCTGGAGTTGGTCAACCTGGATTCTTTTCTGAGATGTTTCATTTACTGAATGGCTCACTTATTTAAGTTTGCCTCAGCTTTCCCCCTTGATAAAATGAGGACAGCAATAGTATTGTCCTCACAGGGTTCTTGGAAGAATAAATTAAAATGATGCATGTGAAGGTCATAGCACGTTGTCCCATACATAGTTGACATTTCATTCCTGCCCTTGGCTTAGCATGAACCTCTCAGAGACCCTACATGCAATGAAGGTGATACCTGATTTAGTCTGGTGGGGTGTGTCATAGTCAGAGAAGGGTTTCTGGGGAGGGTGGCACTCAGTCGGGTTCTGAAGCTTGAGTAGGAGTTTGTTGGCTGGAACAATAGAGTCAAGTCCAGAATGAGGAAATGGCAAGGACAAAGGCTGGGTGTGTGCATGTGTGCATGAAACCATGTGGCTTGTTCTAGGAACTCCAGAGCAGAAGGAAGGGAAGTGGTGAGCTAGGCAACTGGTGATGTGGGTGGAGCCCCAAAAACTAGGGCTGCAAATGCCAGGCTGAGGAGCTCAGACCTCATCCTGGGGGCAGTGGGAAGACAGCGCCCAAGCAAACAAGCTGATCCTTCGGTTCACAGATGGGGAAACTGAGGCCCATGCTCAGACCCTGTGTGGTGGCCCCTCCGATTTCCAGCTCTCTGATTTCTATCCACTTGTGAGCCTCCCCATCCTGGGTCCTCCAGGGGAGACCAGGCCTCCAGCTCCTGCTCAGACACCCTGGAAGACGCCTGCCTCCCACCTGCTGGTGGGCTCAGGATAACGAGGAAACGGAGTGGGGAAACTGAGGCCCGCAAACAGATCAGGACCCCTTAGTTAACATCCCGGCCTCTGAGGTCACACAGATACGGGTGCAAATCCAGGCTTGGTCTCTCTTTTGTCTGCTTTGATTTTGAGCAAGTGAATCTCCTCCTCTGAGCCTCAGTTTCCCCATCTGAAAAGTGGAGCTGTAAGAGTAGCCACCTCAGGACTTCCCTGGCGGTCCAGTGGTTAAGACTCCACACTCCCAATGCAGGGGGCATGGGCTCGATCCCTGGTCAGGGAACTAAGATCCTGCATGCCGCGCAGCACAGCCAAAAATAAAAAATAATAATAAAAATTAAAAAAAATGAGTAGTCACTTCGTGGGGCTTGGCACAGCCAGGATCCTGCAGTCCTTGAAAGATACGGGCTTCCTGAGAGGCTGGAGAATATCAGGGGTGAAGTGCACAAGGCTGGAGCAAGCCTCTAGTTCTGGGAGTGGTTTGATGTGATGATGCATTAAGGACAGGAAAAGGGGTGCAGAGGAGGGTGGGTCAGACCACCCAGGGTCTCCACCCTAGGCTAAGGCGTGGGGACTTTGGCCAGGGGTACTGGGGAGCCATGGGAGGCCTGTGAGCAGGGGAGGGGTAGGTCTGCTCTGCACTGGATGGGATAACTGGAGGCAGGGAGGGCTGGGAGGGAGGCTAGGCTGAGAGTCCAGCCAGGTGAGGTGAAGGCCTACACAGGGCCAGGGCGACGGGGACGGGGCAGAGAGGATCAGAGTGAGACTATGAGAGGTGAGGGGAAGCAAGGGAGAGAGGACAGCGCCCCAGGTCTGGGTGGACGGGGGGGCCATCCCTGAGATGGAGGACACGGGGAAGTTGGTGGGGGGCGGTGTGTGGGACTTGCTAACGTGGAGGCCTGTGGGTCCCAACAGCATCATCCAGCCCTTGGAGGACCCTCTGGAGACTTGGCAGCCGTCACCCGCTGGGGCCCTGTGCCCACCGGGGACGACTCTCTTCCTCCTCTACTCCCTGGCCGCCCTCATCTCCGACCTCCTGGTGATCCAAGGGGCAGGGCCCCTCCTGCCTCCCCCTTTGTCCGCAGACTGGTTTGGCCACCAGGCCATGGCCGATGCCACCTTCACTGTTCTCCTGCCCCTGCCCCTCACCTGGACGCTCCCCGGCTGGCCCCTGGGTGGCATCTTCTACCACCTGGACCCCGGCCTCGTCTGCCTGACATTCTACGCCAGTGGCAGCCTGCTGACCCGTGCGGCCGCCGACTGCTACACCTCTGCGCTCCAGCCCACCTGGGCACAGAACCATCGCACAGCCTGGAGGGCAGTTTTCTGGGCCGGGGGTTTTGGGCTCCTTCTTCTGGTCCTGGGCACATCAGCCCTGTGAACCCTGAGGGGCCAGGTGAACCGGGCCGACGCTTTTAACAAGACGCCTGCCGGGGAGCCTGCCCAGCCATCTTCATCCTCCAGCCCTGCACTGAGTCAGCGGACGTTCAGCTTTGGGGTGCCACTGGCGGTGCTGAGTGCCTTTCACAGCTTCCTGAAGGCCAGGCTGCAGCTGGCGAGGCTCACAGGGAGGCCCCGGCTGCTAGGGGTGCCATAGCCACGGGGGCCATGCTGTTTCTCTGCTGGTTTCCCTTCCCTCTGCTGCTTCTGTTGATGCTGGTGGGGATGTGAGAGGACCAGGCCTTCAGGCAGCACCTGTGCTGGGCGGGCCCTCTGGTGCCGCCAAGTGGGGTAGTCTGAGGGGGAGACGGGTGGGGTCTGGCACTGGGGAGGGAGGCCCAGGTGTCCTGCGGCGACCGGGAGGGAAATTCCTGTGGGGGCGCTGGGAACATTTAGGGGGAGTGTAGAGGGGGGGTCTCCCACCTTATCAAACTCCAGAGAATGTGAGATGCTGAGAGAGACTGAAATTTAGAGAGGGGGACAGGGACCCGGGGTGGGGGGCAGGGCCCCAGAGAATGGGGAACAAAGATGCGAAGAGAAAGCAGGCCAAGCGAAGGAAGAGATGCAGAGAGGGAGAAATGGGCACCGACGCAGACGTGACAGCATCACATAGACGTGGTGGCAGACGGAGGCCAAGGCAGGGAAGGGACGCGAGAGACAGGTCAGGCTGCCGGCAGTGACCAAGTGGGAGACAAGACAGGAAAAGATACGGAGACAAAGACCCAGGAGGAGATGGAAAGGAACTAGACTCTGACTGAAGGAGAGGAGAATGAGTGGGGAGAGAGACAGATGGACAGGGAGAGACAGACAGACATACAGACAGACATGGGCCTGGATCTAAAGACACGATTATAGACATGGGCTAGGAATTTGCAGCCAACCACCCTGGTTATGCCAGGACTTAGCAATACAATATCTGGGCTATGGGGCTTTCGGAGCTAAAACCGGGAAAGTCTCATGCACGCCGGGATGCCGTGGTCCCTGCAGGTGGAACCGAGTAACACAGGACAGTACTTGGCCACCGGATGTTCTGGGTCTCCAGGACACTAGCTGTCATTTGTCTTCTCTTGCTGCCTTTTGAAATACGCACACGCCTCCTAACCATGCCCCCGCCCCTGGGAAAGGATGTTGTTGGTCACCTTTGGTTTTCAAACTCCCAAATGTTTCCAAACTAAAGGTTAATTTTTGCTCCAAGGGGGAAATTTTTTCCAAGGGGGAAAATCTATCTCTTCCGTCTTTGGAAAATGCATTATAGTAGATGCCTCTTGACCCTGTCTGCACATCAGGATCTCCGGAGGAGCTTTCAAACTCCAAATCAGTGCCCAGGGCCCATCCCCAGGTGTTCTAGGGTAGAGCTGGGCTCTGGGAGTTTCCAAAGCTTGCCAGGAAGTCCCACGGGCAGCGGGCTGAGCCCCATCCATCTCCAAGTGCCTGTGGCTGTGCAAATGCAACCTTGGTAGCTCCCAGGGGGTTGAGAAACCCAGCACTCAATGGCTGAAAACCCTGGAGGTGGGAGTGGGGAGGAGGGACGCAAAGATTGATTTCTTTGTCAATATTTGTTTTTTTTCCAAACGTTGATAGCCAAGACCCAAGCTGGGGGTCCAGCAGAAGTCAGATTTATTCTGTGCACCCCCTGCCTTAGGCTCCCAGTCACAGCCAAGAAGGGTGGGGAGGAAGTGGCGGGGAGGCGACGAGAGGCAGGGAGGCTGACTCTGATTGGGAGAGGTTTTTAGGAAGCCTTCCAGGTGGAGCTCACACACAATAGAGGAGGGAAAGGGCACTCCGGGCAGGGAGTACAGCATGTGCAAAGACCCTGGGGTGCGACTTTTTTTTCTTTAAACCATCTGTGAGTTATATACGTTAAGATATACTACAGAGGGGGCGTAAGAGGTGGGTGCGATTAACAAAAGAAAAAGACGGGAGGGCGTCAGGTCAAACACAGCTTCCGGGACTTCTCTGGTGGCACAGTTGTTAAGAATCTGCCTGCCAGTGCAGGGGACATGGGTTCGAGCCCTGGTCTGGGAAGATCCCACATGCTGCGGAGCAACTAAGCCTGTGTGCCACAACTACTGAGCCTGAGCTCTAGAGCCCGGGAGCCACAACTACTGAGCCCACGCGCCTAGAGCCCGTGCTCTGCAACAAGAGAAGCCACCGCAGTAAGAAGCCCATGAGCCACAATGAAGAGGAACCCCCCGCTTCCAGCAACTAGAGAAAGCCCACAGCCCGCGTGCAGCAAAGAAGACACATCGCAGCCAAAAACAAACAAACAAACCCCAAAACACAGCTTCCTATGCCAGGCTGAGGGGCTGGGACTCTTGTCCCAGGGGTGCCGGGAGCCATGGGAAGGATAGGTCACCTCTGCTTGTAGAATGACCCCTGTGAAGACTGAAGGAGAGAGATAGGGGGCGCGGCTATGGTCCAGGGAGGGAGGAAGGCCCCTGGGAGAGGGGACGAAGCCTCAAGGACCGCTTACCCGGCTCAGGTCTCAGAACTCTTGTTTTGCGGAAATCGGCTTCCCTGCTAGAGCTGGGCCGAACCACTTCTGGCTGGGAACATAGCACAACACCGCCCCTGTGTGGTTATTCTTAGCATTGCAACCAAGGTCTCCTATAAGTAAGACTGTCTTCTAAATCAGGACGCTTAGAAGAGTTAAAGAGGACACTATTACAAATTAAAATTATAGTGAAACTATAAATTCGTTTCTAATTGGAATTTTCTAGGCCTTTCCCAGGAAACCCAGAATGTTCAGTCACCCTACTCAGAAGCTGCCTTTTCAGATCTTGAGGTGAAATGAAATTGTTTGTCTGATGAGAAAAATGGATGAAACTTGACCAAAGGCTGGGGTGTCACCCATGGCATTCCACCTACTGGGGATGGAGACAGGGAGTGGGAAGGAGGCGGTTAGTGAGCGAGCTGGTAACTGACTGTATATCTGGAGGTCTGGACACTTTTATAAGTAAGGGGCATTTACAGTAGGTATTGAAGGCTGAATAGGAGTTTGCTAAGAAAAGAGAAAGATGTGTTGATACAATATAGCAATGAAGACATCACTACACACCCTTTGCAACTTGCAAATTCCATTCGCATCTTTGATCTCAGGCTGTCCTTGCCACGGCCTTCTGGGGCCCACTGGTCCAAGATTTTCACCTTTGTCTGACTGAGAAGAAAACCAAGACTCAGAGACAAGGAATAAATCTGAAGTACACAGCAGTTTGTGTTGGTACCAGGTGGTGAGTCATCCCTGCTTCTTCTCCTATCTGTGTTTTTGCACTCAAAGTTGGAATGTCCTTCCCCCTCTCTAAACGCTCCTGACAGACTACTCCCCCCTCAAAACACAGCTCAGTCTCTGGGCACCTAGCCTCAAACCTGATAGTCTATCCCCCTAGTCTCCACCTTCCCCAGACCCAGGAGTGTGGGCCTCCTCTCTCTGACCCAGAAGCCTGGCCCTCAGACAGAGTTGACCCAAGGCTGTGTGCCTGCCGGGGTGGTGGGATAGAGCAGGGTGTGCTGATTCAGTCACATTTATTTGGTCTCAGAGGCCACAGTCACGGTCAGGGCAGAGGCAGGGCTCTTGGATTAGGGGTCCTGTGTCTTCTCATTGCTGAGCCTAAGAGAGGAAAAGAGACAGAGAGATACACGGAAACGTGGGACAGAAAGAGAGGCCCGAGATCTAGCCTGCTACCCCCGCCCTCTTCCCACTCACCTTGTTGAAGAAGTAGATGGAGGTGAGGATGGTGAATACGGCTATGGCCAGGGTCACATTCTGGGTGCAGGGGTCAGAGGTCAGGACCCATCCCTTCCCTTCCCTCTCCCCACCCCTACCCCGGGCCTCCCTCCCCCTGCCGGACCCCTCCTCACTTCCTGAAAATTCATGGCCAGAGGTCTCAGCCGCAGGGTTGCTTGGCCTCTCTCTCCCTTTCCTGGGCCTGTGAGCCAGAGAGGGAAGACGGGTCAGCAGAGCCTGACAGAGGGTCATCTGGGAGACCAGAATGGTGGCCATGGTGACAAGAGAAGGGCATTCTGGGTAAGGGGACCTTGTGGCAGAGGCTTGGGGGAGAGGGGCATTTGGGTACAGAATGTCACATGGAGTATGTGAACTTGGAATGGGGACATTTGAGATGGGAGAGTCCAGACCTGCAACCCTGGAGGGTGCTGGGGAGCCGTGAGAGGGCCGCGAGCAGGGGTGGGATGGGGTGAGCTCTGGGTGCCAGAAGTATCTTGGAGAAAAAAAAAGAAAAATGAAAACAGAAAAAAAATGAAGAAAAAAAAAAAAAAAAGAAGTACCTTGGAACAGGAAGAGACTGGAAGCCAGAGAGCAGATGAGGTGGCCCAGGCAAAATTTCCTCCAATGGTATCTGTCAGTTGCAAGATTTAGAGACACAGCAGGGGGAGGACCGAGCCTTCCAGAGCCTGGTCACCAGTTTGGGGGCGGAAGCAGCAGTTATAATGGTAGAACTCGTGGCAGAGGCAGCAGCTTTCCCATCTCTGGGCCACGGGGACAGTGATGTGCCCGGGACTCCCATGGCCCTCTGGCGGTCCTTGGCTTTTACTCCGCCAGCCCTCCCGAGAGTTTGTAGACCTAAATCTCTTTGGGTCCATGATGCCTTTAGAACTAACTTTGGGGTCACCAGAAACACAGAGGACAGAGGAAACCAGTGCAGTCAGCCCTCATTATCCGCGATTCCATCTCTGCCCAGAGTGGCTACAAGTTTGAGTCTGAGGACACGCACATTCCTTTGTTGATCAAGGTGACAATCCTCTGCTCTCTTGTTTCAGCTCAAACAGAGAGCTGCCCAGAGGCCGGAGACAGGAGGGGGCAGTGCTGGGGAGGAGCTCCTGCTCTGGGGCCAGAGGGATGGGTTTGGATCCCAGCTCTGGCACCTGTGAGTGGGGTGGCCTGAGGCAAATTTTCTAGTTTGTAAAAAACAAAAAGGAAAAAAAAAAAGGATCTACCAGGATGAGTAGTTTTTTGGATTTAAGATTATAATCTACGTGACACACACACACATTTTCCCTAGAAGCAATGATTCAGTATTTGCTAATCCCGCGTTCCCGGTGACTTTATGCAACATAAATGCTGGAAATGACATGAATCAGCTGTGAAATGATACCTGAGTGCACCAGCCAGAAAACTCCAGAAGGCAAGACACTGAACAGGGCAACTGGCATGGTCTCTCCAACAAGTCCGTGTCCCCCAAAAAACCAAGGCAAATGGACTTGCTCTATTTAAACAAATCCATAAGAGACATAAGACCAGATTCGATGGGTGATCCTGAACTGGATTCTGGTTTAGATAACTCAGCTGTAAAGGATATTGGGGGAGATATTGGGGACCTCTGAAAGGAGAGTGGGTATTAGATGAGATGAAAGTGTTATTGACATGGAAAGGAGGAGATTGTTCCAAAATTGCCTGTGCGATATGATCTCATTTTGGTAAAAAGTACACATGCTTTTTAAATGTGGGGATTTCCCTGGCGGTCCAGTGGTTAAGACTCTGCGCTTCCACTGCAGGGTGCACGGGTTCGATCCCTCGTTGAGCAACTAAGATCCCAGGTGCCACGTGGTGCGGCAGGAAAAAAAAAAGAACGTGTGTGTTGAAAAATCTGGAAGGATGTGCTGTCTCAGTGTTGCAGCAGAAAGGTGCAGCTCAAAAAGGTTTAATTGGAGGAAGTTTAATGCAGGGCCCATGTTCAGAGTTGGCAGGACAGCGCAGCACTGGGCTTAGGAAACTTGGGGAGCTGCTGCCACCCAGATGGGTCTGAATTGAGTCCCACCAAAGATCAAGTCCTCACCCCCGGTACCTGTGAATGTGACTTCATTTGGAAATAGGGTCTTTGCAGATGTAAATTAAGTTAAGATCAGGTCATAACTGGTGTCCTTATAAGAAGAGGAGAGACCCAGAGACAGACACACACAAAGGCCGCATGATGAGAGTCTGGAATGATGCTTCTATAAGCCAAGGATTGTCAGCAACACCGGAAGCTGGGGAGAGGCAGGGAGCAGATCCTTCTTCACAGCTCTCAGAAGGGACCGACCCTGCTGAAACCTTGATTTCGGACTTCTGGCCTCCAGAACTGGGAGACAATAAATTTCTGACGTCTAAACCAGCCAGTTTGTGGCTGTTTGTTACAGCAGCTCTAGCAAACCAATACACACCTCTAGGCATCAAGGGGTGAGATCCATGTCATCAGAACCTCAAGGGACAGGGGGTTCCCCGAAGGAAGCTATACTGCAGCCAGCACCTCTCATCCTAGGAGTTCCTGCTCCCCTCCCTGGCTGACCCCAACGGGGATCCAGAGGGCACGGGGGCCAGGATGGAGATGAAGACAGAGGCTGCCTCAAGGGCACAGAGCTGGACAGAGAATGGTGGAAAGTGGATCAGAGGAGTGGGGTGGGCCACCCCCGTATTTACGTGTGTGGCGGGCTGAGTAATAGACTCAAACTGGCCACACCCCAACCCCCAAAACCTGTGAGTATTTCCCTCACCTGGCTTAAGGGACTTTGCAGAGGTGATTACATTAAGGATCTTGAGACGGAACTTGTCTTAGTCTGTTTGAGCTACTATAATAGAATACCATAGACGGGGTGGCTTATAAATAACACAACTATATTTCTCACAGTTCTGGAGGCTGCAGGTCCAAGATCAAGGTGCTGGCATATTTGGTGTCTGGTAAGAGCCTGCTTTCTTGTTCATAGATGGCCAATTACTCGATGTGTCCTCATGTGGTGGAAGAGACCAGGGAGCTCTCTGGGGTCTCTTTTAAAAGGGCACTAATCCCATTCATGACGGCTCCACCCTCATGACCTAATCACCCCAAAGGCCCCACCTCCTCATACCATCACCTTGGAGGTTCGGGTTAAAACATATGAATTTCGGGGGGGGGACTCAGGAAGTGGGCTGACAAGACATCTTTATTTAAAGTACATTACCATGGGGACTTCCTTGGCGGTCCAGTGGTTAAGACTCTATGCTTCTAATGCAGGGGGTGTGGGTTTGATCCCTGGTCAGGGAACTAAGATCCCACGTGCCACGTAGCCAAAAATAAAATAAAATAAAGAACATTGCCATGGAGCCAGCCTCCAGCATAGCCCCCAGTGAGTCTCACCTCCTGGAGTTCATATCCCATGTAGTCTCCTCCCTCATGGAATAGGGTCAACCTGTGTAAATAGTGGAATATGGTGGAAATGGCAGAGGGTGACTTCTGAGGCTGGGCTATAAAAGACATTGCTATGCCTTGGGTTAGTCACTCTGGGGGAAGCTGGTGGCCATGCTGTGAAGATGCTCAAGCAGCCCTATGGGAGGCCCGTGTGGTGAGCGGGCTGAGGCCTCCTGCCAACAGCCACATCAGTAAGCTTGGAAGTGGCTCTTCCAGTGCCAGTCGAGTTTTCACGTGACTGCAGCCCTGGTGGATATTTGACTACAATCTCATGAGAGACCCTGAGCCAGAATCACCCAGCTAAGCCACTCCCAAATTCCTGGCCCACAAAAGCTGTGAGAGATAATAAATGGCTACTGTCCTAACCCATTAAGTTTTTTTTTTTTTTTTTTTTTTTTTGCCGTACGCGGGACTCTCACTGTTGTGGCCTCTCCCATTGCGGCGCACAGGCTCCGGACGTGCAGGCTCAGCGGCCATAGCCCACAGGCCCAGCCGCTCCGCGGCATGTGGGATCTTCCCGGACCGGGGCACGAACCCGTGTCCCCTGCATCGGCAGGCGGACTCTCAACCACCGCGCCACCAGGGAAGCCCCCATTAAGTTTTAGAGTGATTTGTTACGCAGCAGTACATAACCAACACTGTTTAGTACTTACCCTGAGAAACGCTGTTCTAAGTGCTGAATATATTTGAACTCATTAATCCTGAAAGCAACTCTCCAAGGAACAGACTATGCTTGTCCCCATTGTATGAATGAGGAAGCAGAGAGATGCAGTAACTTGCCCAAAGTCACACAGCTTATATATGGCAAAGCTGGGGTTTGAACCCAGCCTGTCCAGACTCCAGGGTGTGGGTGTTCAACCTCTGGGCCATGCTGGCTTTGGCCAGCTGTGGGTGGCACTGGAAGAAGTCACCAAGAAGTCCAAGAGAGCCTCAAAGAGCCCCAACATTTAAGGGGTGAGAAAAAGAACAGACGTGGCTGGTGGAGTGGGGAAGGAGGGGAGGGCAGAGTCTAGAATGTGGGGCGGGGCGGGGTTCTCCCTCCATCTGTGCCCACTTTAAGGGCTCCTAGGTTCAAATCCCAACTTTGCCACTTACTAGCTGTGTTCCCTCAGGCAGATTACTTACCCTTGCTGTGCCTCGGTTTCCCCATCTGCACCATGGAGATGGTGATAATCAGATCAACACTTCCTGGGGTTGTGGTGAAGATTAAATGGGTCAGTCCACGGTGAATCCAAGGCTGACAAAGGCCCTGGGGGATCGAGCTCTGCGGGGAGGCGTGCTGGGACCTGCTCTTCGGGGGGGCGTTGCTGAGGGGGGGGTAATGAGCAGGTGGAGCTGCGGCACAGACAGTGGGCTGAGCTCAGCGTCTGGCTGTGTGGAAATGGCCAGGCCAGGGTTTCGGGGCCACCCTGCTGGACTTCTCCTGCTGCTGCTGCTGCTACCCCAGGCCCTGACAGAGGGACCCCTGGTCTTTGTGGCTGTGGTGAGGTGCCCCACCCCCGCTGCCCGGCCCTTCATGTCCCCCAGGGCAGCCCTGACCTGGTCCCCTCCCCAGGTGTTCCGCCATGGCGACCGGGCCCCGCTGGCCTCCTATCCCACTGATCCGCACAAGGAGGCTGTATCTACCCTGTGGCCACGTGGCCTGGGCCAGCTGACCGGGGTGAGAAGCTGGGGATGGGAGCAAGGGGTGGGGCAGTGTGGAGAGGGGTCCGCTGAGCCTGCTCTGTCCCCAGGAAGGGGTCCGCCAGCAGCTGGAGCTGGGCCGCTTCCTGAGGAGTCGCTACGAGGATTTTCTGAGCCCTGAGTACCGGCGGGAGGAGGTACTGCCTTATTGACCTCCATCTTACCTCCTGACCTTCCACCTCTGACTTCCACTGACTCTAGTGTTCCCCTTGGCCTCCACCTCTGGCCTTTGACCCCCATCAACCTGACCTGCACCTTATGTCTGATCTCTGACCCCTGAACCATCGACTAAACCACGTTGACCTCTGACTCTATCTCAACCTGAGTCACATCTTGACCTCTGACCTCCATCATCTCTGACTTTATTTTCTGTCCTCCACCTCTGTGTTCTGATTCCCCCTGACTCCAACCAGACCCTCTGACCTCTGACTCCGAAACTTGATTGATTCTGTCTTTGACCCTCATTGATTCTACTTGCCCTTCTGACTCCAAACTTTGACCTCTACCCTTCCTCAAATCTGACTTTCCTATACCTTCCTCTGTCTCCTGACAGATCCCCAGTTAGGATCATTCCTCCTGACCCCTGACCTCTGATCCCTGATACACATGTACTGAACTCTGACCCCATGACCTCCAATCTGCCCTCCTCATCTTGACTTCTAACTTCCAGCCTCCAGCGATTCTTATATTCCTTTACTTTTTAAAAATTTATTTATTTAATTTATTTACTTTTGGCTATGTTGGGTCTTTGTTGCTGTGCGCGGGCTTTCCCTAGTTGCGGCGAGCACGGGCTTCTCACTGCGGTGGCTTCTCTTGTTGTGGAGCACGGGCTCTAGGCGCGGACTTCAGTAGTTGTGGCTCGTAGGCTCAGTAGTTGTGGCGCACGGGGCTAGTTGCTCCGCGGCATGTGGGATCTTCCTGGACCAGGGCTCGAACCCGTGTCCCCTGCATCGGCAGGCGGATTCTTAACCACTGCGCCACCAGGGAAGCCCCTGATATTCCTTTCTGACTTTCATTGACTCAAATGACCCCCTTAATCCTCAATGTCCACCCAACTTCTGACCCCCAACCCAACTGCTCCTGACATTGACCTCTGACCCTTGATCCCAGCTTCCAAAATTGAAGGCCAGCCCCTGAACCCGCCCTGAGTTTTGACCCCCAACACCTGAACTTCGACTCTGAACTTAATCTGAATCTTTTGGTTTGCTGCTATAGCTGACCTCTGACCCTGACCGTGGTACCCTGGCCTGGCCTCTCCTCACCGCACCCAGGTGTACATTCGCAGCACAGACTTTGACCGGACCCTGGAGAGCGCTCAGGCCAACCTCGCGGGGCTTTTCCCTGAGGCCGCCCCAGGGCGCTCCAAGGCCACCTGGAGGCCGATCCCTGTGCACACTGTGCCCGTCACTGAGGACAAGGTCAGGGGTCTGGACAGGGCCTGGAGGTGGGAGGGATGGAGGGAGACAGGGACCCCAGAGATGGAGAGGGCCAGCGGCTGAGAGAGGAGGCTCGGGGCCTGGATGGGTGGTTCCCGGGAGCCAGAACACCCAGACCTTCCCTGAGGCTGAGCTGTCCTGATGGGGTGAGCCGCCTACCCGACACTGTGCAGCCGGATCTGGGAGAGACGCTGGACCGGAGACAGGGCCCCACAGCCCGACTGCCCCCGCCTGCAGTCGGGCCCCAGTCACGCTGCTGTCCCCGCTGAGCCTCCGTTTTCTCCAGCTGCTGAGGTTCCCTACACGAAGCTGTCCTCGATACCAGGAGCTGCTGAGGGAGGCCACGGAGGCCGCCGAGTACCAGACGGCCCTAGAGGGTTGGACGGTGAGCAGGGCCTGTGTGGTGGGGCAGGATGGGGCGGGGCCGGCGGGGCGGGGCGGGGCTGGCGGGATGGGGCGGGACCTGCGGTGCAGGGCGGGGCCAGTGGAGCGGGGCGGGGCCGGCAGGACCTCGTGGGACCCGCCGGGCTCGGAGGTCTGTCAGGCTCACCCAGTCCAGTCCGGTGCATTCAGGACTTCTTGACTCACCTGGAGAACTTCACGGGGCTGTCGCTCGTCGGGGAGCCGCTCCGCAGGGCGTGGAAAGTTCTGGACACTCTTATTTGCCAGGTGGGTCCCTGCCTCACCCACCCAGCCAAGTCGTTTATGGCACCTGGGATTGGCACCTGGGTTCAAATCCCAGCTTTGCCGCTCACTACCTGTGTTCCCTCAGGCAAGTCACTTAACCTTTAGTGCCTCAGTTTCCCCATCTACACAATGGGGATGGCGACACACGTATCAACACCCCCTGGGTTGCTGTTTAGATCAAAACGGGTTAATTCACGTGATGCCTTAGAACAGCGCCTGGCACACAGTGAGGCCTTTCAGTCTGTGTGCTTGCAACTCCAATCCCCCAGTTCCATAAGCGGAAAAGCGCCGGTAACTACGGCTTCGGCGGCAGGAGCTGACCTGAAGCTGCAAGACGCTGGTAGTCTTTTCTTACCCCACTTTACGGGAATGTATGTCTAAGGGGGCTGCCCCAGACCCCACTGGATGTGTTATGAGGTATAAGGTATCCTCACCACTGTACCTTTCTAAAATTCCAAACGTCTGATTCTAGAACAGCTGTGGACCCAAGGATTTTGGATAAGGCCATCTGGAATGATGGTCATTCCTATGCTTAATTAATCGCTATCGCCCACCCCATAACTTCCTGGCCAGACGTAGCCCATGAGGGTCGGGGGAGAGGACTGTGGCTGATGGAGGCAACACAGGAGGGCCTAAGGGGGGCATGGAGAGCTCAGGACGTTGCGGTCACTTTGTCCCCTCCCTCTCTCTCCCCAGCAAGCCCACGGTCTCCCCTCCCATCCTGGGCCTCCCCGGATGTCCTGCAGACACTAGCTCAGATCTCGGCTTTGGATATTGGGGCACACGTGGGCCCACCCGGGGCAGCAGAGAAGGCCCAGCTGTCTGGGGGTGAGGTGTGGAGCTGGGAGGCTGGGAGGCTGGGAGGCTGAGGCGCCTTCCTCTGGGAAGTTCTTAGCACTCTGTCTCGCCCTGTCAGGAATCCTGCTGGATGCCATCCTTGCCAATTTCTCTCGGGTGCAGCACTTGGGGCTGCCCCTCAATATGGTTATGTATTCGGCTGTGAGTCTCTGGAAAGGGAGGCAGTGCCACGTGGGCACAGGGATGGGGGGGCAATTTGGGTGTGAAAGGACTGGTGGTTCCAGTGGAACCTCAGCCTGATGCCTTGAGTAACTCATATCTCCAAACCATATTCTTGGACCATATCACTAGAGGCATAGAATCTGGAAGGAAGGAGGTGATGGTGTTATGGGAAAGAATTCAGTTTTTCTTCAAGGACTGGCTTTTTAACTGAGCTGTCATATTTCGTGTCTATTTAACCAATCTTTATTACGTGACCACCTGTAACTTGTGGGGCTGCCTCCAGGGTGAGCAGGTTTGGGGGGACTGGTTCTAAGGGGTCTGAGGGACATCTGGGAGGCAGCTGGATGCACAAGCTCAGGAGAGAGGAAACATCTGGAGGAGCCCTGAGTCAGCCCTGGATCCGCCTGCAGCACGACAGCACTCTCCTGGCTCTCCAGGCGGCCCTGGGTCTCTATGATGGGCACACACCACCTTATGCCGCCTGCCTCGGCTTTGAGTTCCGGAGGCGCCTTGGGGACCCGGATGACGACGCAGGGTGAGGAGGGGGTGGTACCCAGGAATGGGCAGGACCAGAACTCTCAAGAGGAGTGATGCGGTGCCAGGTAGAGGGCATGGCCCAGGCACAGGTTCCGAGGGGAATTTACTGGGGACGGCATCGGGAAGGAGTCAGGAGCCCAGTTCTCCACCCAGCTGCTCTCCTCCAGATTTCAGGTCAGCAGTAGGGAAGGCAAGGAGGGGCCTGGGTACCACCACCTCCTCTCTCCCTCCAGGAATGTCACCATCTCCTTCTACCGCAACGACTCTGCTGGCTTACCCTTGACCCTCAGCCTCCCCGGGTGCCCGGCGGCCTGCCCCTTAGGCCGCTTCCGCCAGCTGACTGCCCCCGCCCGGCCTCCGGCTCACGGGGTCCCCTGCCATGGCTTGTACGAGCCCGCCACCCCCGCAGGTGACGGCCCTCGGTGCTGGGGTGGGAGGGGGGTGGCTCAGGTCTGGAGACTCACCCCCCCTCCCCACGTTCTCCCCGCAGCCACCGTGGTGCCTCTGCTGGCTGGTGCTGTGGCTGTGCTGGCAGCCCTCAGCATGGGGCTGGGCCTGCTGGCCTGCACAGCCGGCTGCCTGCGGGACTGGAGGTGCCCCGTGTGAGCCACGGAACCGGCACCGTTTCCCCCGCAGCTGACACTGGATCCCAACACAGCTGCTCACCCGCTGCTCTGGCTTCTGTGACTTACTGTGCGCGCCGGGGGACACAGGGAGGGCTCCCAGGCCAAGTCACAAGCTGTCCTATGTATGTGTGGGCTTAAGCGTGCATGTGTGTTAACGCACGTGCACAGGTCTGTGTACACATGCACATACGTGTGGATGTCTATTCATGCATATGCTCCTGCACGGATGTGTATACACATATTCGACGTACACGCACATGCTTACGTGCTCCTTTGCATGTGTGGGTGATACATGCACCAGTGTTTATGTACAGGTTTCTATACACGCCTGGGAACGCGTGGTGTACGTGCGGGAACCTCTATTTGTAGGTGCAGCACACATGATGTGTGCGAGCCTGCAGGGTGACCTCCTCCCCACCACGGGTCATGCACTGTCGGGGTCCAGCTCACTCGGTCTGGCTTTGGTGCCCGCCTGGTAGTGGGAGAGCTAAGGTCAGGGTTCAGAGCCTGGCCGCACAGCCAGCCTGCTGGGACCAACCTGGAGGCTGACTCTGGGCTAAGCATTCATCTCTGCACCACCATCTCCTCTAGCACACACGACTCCTCCATCAGGTTAACTAGCCTCCGGGAAGCCAGTAGCGGGAGGGGGGCGGTAGCATCCCCTCTGGGCTACCTAACATAGCATTTGCTATAATTACGATTTGGAGGGGGTGGGATCCCAGGATCCCACCCAAGTACTGTCCAGTATGGTTGCCACTGGCTGCCACGTGGCTGTTTGAATTCACATTGTGTAAATAAATAAAATGTGAAATTCAGGTCCCAGTCGTACTAGCCAGTTCCAGCACTCATTAGCCACACATGCCCTAACGGGCGGCGCAGACAGGGAGCTTCCACGTGACAGCCCTGAACGTAAGGAAAGGTAACGCTACCACACAGCAGGTTCACGTGGTGCTGGTCACAGACCAGGCTGTCCCAGGCCTGTACTTGCGCTGCTGCATTTAGCTCTGCAACCCAGGAGGCGGCTCTGCCCTTTCCACACGCCAAACACCAGGCAGCAGTCTGGGGCACCAATGATCCTGTCTGCATAATCAGGCAAACGTGTCAACACCCCACTAGGCTGTTGGTGGGCAGCCTGGTGTGCAGTGGGTGCTCTGTAACCGCCACTGGGTGCCTGTCAGATGGGGGAGGCTTGGAGGATCGGAGGTGGGGCTGGGCAGCCAGACATGAGAACCACCCCCAGCTGCCAGAACACCGTGGGCATGGGAGGGAAAGGGCAGGGGTCAGCAGCCCCATTCTCACACGTGTGGACAAACCCGGCTCCACCCACCTCCCTGCGCCACCCGCCCTGGGCCCCAAGGGAGCCTCTTGTCATGAGCACGCGGCCTACCACTGCCCCGGCTGGTACTGGACTGTCACAGGGCCTCAGGGAAGGCCTAGGAATGCCCTCCGAACTTCACTTCTTGGTCCTGCTTGGGGGGCGGGGCTGGAATTGCAGTGGTGCGGCCTCTTGCTTCCAGATGCATGTTAGACCCAAAGGAAGCTCCAGCCGCCCCCGCATCTGTGAGCCTAGACCCCTCCTCAGCAGACTGCTGGGAGGGTCATGGAGGTGGCGGGGCCTCGCTAGGGCTGCCATGCAACTCCCTCCATCCTCACCCGGGGAGGGTTCTGGCTCCAGCTCCACACCTGGACCCAGTCAGACGCCACAGCTTACACGCAGTGACGTGCAGGATACTTAATGGGTGCCTGGTACCGCCTGCCAGGGCTGTCCATCCTCACAGCTGGGATTCTTGGGCCCAGCATCCCTCGCCCAAAGGTACCAGCCACACACACAGCTACAGAAACTGGAAGGGACTGGCCGCCCCCTTCGCAGGCAAGCAAAGCGCAAAATTCAAGTTTAAAAGAGAAAGGCATTGCAAAAAAAACTTAATAGAAAAACCTTGGCAAAAGGGGAAACGAGCAACCATAAAACCCAAGTGCTGTATGAAGTTAACAGGTAAAAATATTGCATTAAAAAAAGGCTTAAGAGAAAGGGTACAAGCTTCAAGGTGTGGGCTGCGGGGTCTCCCGCTTGGCCTGTAGTGCTTCAGAAGCCCATGTGACACAGCGGCGGGGGCCCACCCACCAAGCCCATCAGGCCAAAGTGTAACAGACTGAAACGTAACACACTGTCTGGCATCCAGCAACAGCAGCTATCAGCCAGCTGCCTGTTCTCCACCAGCTCTGGCTGGTGACGCCCACGGGGTGGGCTGGGGGCAAGGACACCCCTCTTTGGGGCTCCTTGAACACCGGCTGGAGCCGACCAAGGCTTTGCGTCTCCCCTACGATGTCCTGCTCCTTGCCTCCTTGCTCCGGGAGGCCTAGTCGTGGCGCACGGTGACTCCGCCCCACAGGCTTGGTCGGAGTATGGCGGGCATGGGGGCTGCTCCTCTCCCGGCCGGAACGCATCGCGGGTGTGGCTGCGCCTGGCCTCTTGGATGTACAGCTCCAGGAGGATCTTGGTGGGCTGCCTGTCCACCCGCTCCTTGGGCATGCCGTGGCTCAGCAGCCAGCCCATGAGGTCCTTGCGCGTCGGGTTGGGTCCCAGCACGAGCCTGGCGCGGCCCGGCTGGCTCTGGTGCCAGAGCAGGCCCACGTCGGTGACGGTCTGGATCACCATCACCGCCTCCAGCACCGTCACGCCCTTGGCCAGCAGGCCGACCAGCGAGAGCCTCAGCTCGGAGGGCGTGGCCGCCAGCAGGCGCCGCTGCAGGCCCTGCGTGAAGGGCACGTCCTCGGGCACCAGGCGCTCGGGCTCGGGGAGCGGCGGCTCGCGGTAGATCCAGTCGAACATGCCCAGCTCTTGCACCAGCTGGATGCCCTCCTCCATGGTGCTCCAGGGTCGGAAGGGCAGCTCGGTGCCCTCCAAGTGCAGGAAGGACTCCCAGCGCTGGCGCCAGCAGCGTTTTGCCGTCACCCCGCAGGGCCTTGCAGCGGTAGTTGAAGACGGGCATCGCCGGTCAGGTCGCCCAGCATCACCAACTCCCTGGAAGCCAGGGCCAGGCCGCCCTGGTCATACACCCGCAGGATCCAGGTGATCATGAGCTCGTTGGGGTTCTGCCGGAAGCGCCGGGTGATGGCCAGGAGCCCGGTGTATGTGTAGTAGCGGTTGCCCTGCCCCGCCATGGCCACGGGCCGAGAAGAGCCGGAAGGCTGGAGGGGCACGGCCACGGGAGCTGCGGGAAGGGCACAGAGGGGCATTGGGCAGGGAAATAGTCACAAGCCCCTAGCCTCTCCCCACAGTGGGGAGCCCCTCAGACCCCCAGGTGTCAAAGGTCCTGGGGGGGCACTGTGTCCTCACGGGAGATCAGAGCCCAGTGCTGGACATCATGGGGGCCCCAAGCGTGGCCCCTTCAGGAGCCCTCATACTGGATGTCTCCCAGCAAACCCCACCCCAAGCCGCTCCTGTACCAACTTCCCCTTACACCAGCCACTGCGCTCCCATCACGGGGCTACTGTGCAGATTCAATGAATTTAGTGCTTAGGACTGCCTGGTTTAAAGTTAAGTGTTCAGCCTTTGCCTGTACATATACCATTACCATAATCTCTCCACTCTGTAACTGTAAATTTAATATAATTATGGTATTAATAAGAACTTGTTCTCACCGAGACGCCTGGTGGAACTGTTGGCCTCCTGGAGGAACTGCCTGCAGACAGAGAGGGGGGAAGAGCAGGCTGGTGGGGTGCAGGGCAACCATGATCCCCATCCATCTGTCCCCAGAGCCAGGGACCCTTCCCACCCCCGGGGGTCAAAGGTCCCGGGGGAGCACCGTGTCGTCACAGAGCAGAGCCCTGTGCTGGACATCACAGGGGTCACCAAGCACAGCCCCTTCAGGCACCAACTGAGCACATCTCACTGCAAACCATGGCCCCCCCACCGCGGGTTGGCCTGTTTCTCATCCCCACCCCTCCCGCATCCACCTCCTCTAACACGCCCCACCCCCATCTCTGCAGCGGATGCCACAGAACTCAGGGCAGCACTCGGGGGCGGGGGCGGGGGGCACGCAACGCTGGCGCTCAGTGATCCCGGTGATCCCCAGCAGTACCAGCTGAGGCATCTCTACAAGCCCAGGAGGGGCTGGGCCCTTGCGGGGGGGGGGGCCCACAGCACACACACCAGGGAGCCTACCCCTCAGCCCGATCCGCGCAGACAAATCACGCCCTAAGGTCAAAAGTGGCAGAACCGGGGATCAAAACCAACCTCGCTGGTCCTGTATCAACTGTAGGGAAGAAGGGGGGGGTACAGAGAAAGCCTCCATCACCCTGTTGCACCTGAACATGGATGGAGGCTGCAGAAATAAGCCCCCTCCCCACCACAAGGAGACGAGTGTGGGCAAACCACAACCTCCATGTGCCTCCATCTCACCTGTGAAATACGGACAAAACCGCACCGATTTCAAGTAATGGGGTTATTGTGACGATTAACTGAACCTAGTGCTTAGGAATGCGGCGTGGCTCAGGCTAAGTACTCAGCACCTGTCCTTATTATGTTAATATTACCATACTCTATAAACTGCATTAACAGTAAATTTATAATGTACTAAATTTAATATGATTATTACAGCATTAATAGTAAGGGGAGTCTCTTCTGTTCTTACCGAGGGCTGCTCAACTCCTGGGGGAACCACCTGCAGACAGGAAGGGATGGGGGGATGGAGAGGTTATAGGGTGCAGGGCAACCATGGCCCCCATCCGTCCCTCCCCAGAGACGGGACCCCCCCACTCAGACCCCCGGGTGTCAAAGGTCCCGGGGGGCACTGTGTCCTCAACAGAGATCAGAGCCCAGTGCTGGACATCACGGGGGTCCCAGTGTCCTCAAACCCCACACCCCAACTCCGCTGCCCCCGGACTGGGCAGTGCAGGATAGAACATTTCCACCTTGCCAGTTCTGCTGGCCAGCAGTGCCTCAGACATCGACAGGTGTTACACATCCCTTAGGGCTTC